GTGGGTCCCGCAGACTGAGTTCTGTAGTCTTGAGTCTGTTGAACAATATATTGCCACTAGCACAATGTCATGGTTACTTCTTTAGAAAAAAACTTGGATTTGAACAAAAGCTACCTAGTCTCATTCAGAAACATATTTGGAGATACTCAGGTGTGAGCTTTGGGTTTAAGGTCTTACAAATTGGGAGGCCAGCATTTCTTTTAGTACCTCAGACTGGGTTAGAGACTAAACTTGGTAAATGAAGGTCCAGAGCTCCGACATCTATGTCAGTCCTTTGGAAATGCCTAAAAGTACATTCTGAATTTTCAAAATCACTTATTATAGCAAACAAATTTACTATGGACACACATCTACATGAGAAAGAAAAACAAGGAGTGAGGTAGTCCCCTCTGAGTTCTTGCAGGCATAGGCCACATCCTTGGCGATCCACATTTTTGCTCTGATTTTGATGAGAAATTCCAAATGTTTGGACAGTTAGCAAGACTTGTGGCCATTCATTCATTATTCTCATTATATTCTTGAAATACTCTTTTCAACACCTCTAAAGGCTTCATCACATTTAACTGAGGTGCTGCTATTTCTCAGCAGCTCTCTTTATGTGCTTTTGTTGGTACACATATTCCTGATTGTTTCAAAATCTTTCTCAAAAGGTACTAATCCTACAGTTTCAACTAAAAAATATGAAGGCTCTTCTTATCTGTATCTGTGATGTTAAAGAAACCTCTAGCCTCATAAACTGCTCTTCACTTTTATGTTTGCCACTGTACGAGGAATCCTGTGGGCAGCTGGGTTACCAGTCACCAAATTCTCTTGATGAAGCTGTCTTGGCAGTAGGAGAAAGCTCCTGTCCTTTGGCATTCTGATTTCCAACTCTTTAGCTTCTCTTTCCTTTTGAAGTCAAACTTGGGGGATTTGTTTGCAAATATCCATACTCTGCTCCTTTCCAGCCATACTTAGAGGAAACCAAGTTTATAGTAGGAGGAAATATTTCTACCTGATGCTGGGTTATGGACTACAGGACTATAGTTTCTCTTCACACACTTCAGACACCTTCACTTATATCAGCACATATACACCTTGATTTTATTGTAACAGAGCTTTGTCCATTGGTGATACGGCTCACACATGAAAGCTTATAAAAGCGAAGGGATTTCTTTCATGTCAACAGGTACTCTGATGAAACTCTACCATGGTTATGTTATAAATACCAACAATTATGATGCATTTCCAGTGCAGCAGAAGTGAAGCAGCGGCTGCTCTAGACAATGGCTTCAAATGTGCTTGCATGCAGGAATTTAATCACATTTCACTACGCTGTGCTGCTTCAAAGGCAGATTGTAAAACTTGTCCGTCACATGCAGGACTGTGCACACAGTAATCCCAAAGAATGAGTAAAGTGATTTCACTTAATTTAGCAAATATTTGTTGTGAGCTGGAGAGTAGTAGTGGCTATTTACTATTTCTATTTGCTACTGCAGTTATGTTATAGGAAACCCATTCAGGCTAGAACTGGGTCAGTCTCTTACAGATCACATATGTTAGCAGTTAATTAATTTTTAGGGTTTTTTCTGTATTGCTCAGGCTCATCACATTGGCTTTTATTTGTGGTTTTCTATTTATCTTATGGATAGATAAACTGCCAAAACTAGCTCTAAGCTAAAGTGTTTTTTGTTTCCTGGATATGGAGCTAACAGAATAAAAAATCTGATTAGGGGAATAATTGAGTGCCTAGCACAGACAAACCCTGGTTTTGGCTGGTCTGTAAACACTGTCATAGCAACAGCAGTAATATTATAAAGTATACTATAATATTCTCCTATGAGCCTTTCAGTCCAGCCAAAGGCCCAGAGCTCTGAAAATAGTGCTTTAGGCATGCAGCAAAAATTGCTGTGAGCCTCTGCTGCTGGGCAGCACTGAGTCCTGAAAAAGGACTCAAGCTAGCATGGAGATCTCTGTAGCACATGGTCTTGTGCCATTTAAACATGACATCAGATCTCTGCTAAATATACCTCTCTAAATCCTTAAGACCTTATTTACAAAATGCATAATACAAATTCCCTCTCTGTTAATGCTGAAAAATGTTCTCATGTAGAATATCCCCAAATAGGATACGGTGTAGGTGGCTTCATGGGGCTTCCCTGTAGAAACAACAGTGTGGCACTCAGATCAAGTTAGAGGATAAACAAAACACAAAATAGATGTTTGGGACATCCTGTCATGGAAGTAATTGTAAAACCTCTGTAAGAAACAGTGATGATAATGAAATCTTTGAAACAGTTTTCAGCCCATTAAATTATATATTTTAAATTTAACATGCATCAAGCCTTGTAAATCAAGTAAAGCACTGTAACATCTTGTGCATATTGTCAAACTCCCTAGACTTGTGAAAGAAGAAGATTCTACAGTTTCTTTCTAAGAGCAGCTCCTGGAATCTGGTACCATATCTTCTTGCTCCATGAGACAAGACTGGGGACGTGTCATAGATACAAAGGGCAAATGTGCAGTATTAACAACAGCAAAATAAATACTGGCAAAAAGCTGAGTGTATTTCAGTTTAAATATATATATTAAAATTTATTAAAACTATGAAATTTGTTGGAATTCCTGCATTCCTTGTAAAGTAAAAATGTCAAGTAAATTATATTTTATTTTATTTGGATGAAAACATGGCAATCCTGAAATTTCTATTCACTTTTCATTAACACTTTGATAACTTTTCGCTCCCTAAAAGCACTGAGATGTCTGTGAACATGTTTTTAAAGACTATATTATCTGTTTGCAACCAATTCCACTTTTTATAGCAAGGATACAGTTGAACACTGCTGTGTCATTTGTATTTTTTTAACCTGTGCCACAGCATACAGTTGTGTCATGTTGGGAGAGTCTAATATGAGGCAAGCAAGAATATTTTCCTTTGTTACTTTCACTAAGAATTCACATCAGCTCCCAAGGAATAACAAGGTTAGCTTTGCATGATAATCTAGGACTAGGTTTTGTTATTTTAGTCCTCTAGCAGGCCAGGTAGCTCTGTTATTTGACAATCAATAGTGCCTGACTTTTTAAGTCATCCCATTCAATCCAGTATGACTTATTACTAAAAATCACTACTCAGGAGGAGTGAAAGGTGACATAAT